TCATCGTGGAACGCAAATAGTTTTTTATCCTTTTTAAACAGGAAAACGACCTGCCTGCGCTGCAGTTGGTTACAGCAATAGTAATGAATATTCTATAGGCGATTTCAACATTCGGAAAAACGCAGGACAATTCATTTTCACGAATTGATTTCAATAATTCTAATGGAGACTTTTTGTGAATTTTTTTGGCATGACAAAATGCGTGGAAGTGAACAAACTCATCGTCCAATGATGATTCAAAGTCTGAGTGATAGATTTCTCTCAGTAATTTTGATTTTTCACGAATTTACTCAGATTCCAGCTTATCAAATTGAACGATAATGGCAAAGTTTTCGTAAATTTCTTGATATTTTTTATAACTTTCTTCTAGTTCTGTTGACAACCTATCCAAAATGACGTTGAAAGTTTTGACCCTGAACGTATCCCGACCCGAAAATTGAACTTCACTGTCTATTGTTGCGTCGGCACGTAGTTTTATAATTTTTTTTCGGGACAAATCTGACACATACAATTTAGAAGTTGATATTTGAAGTGCTTTTTGTTCAAAACTATCAAATTCAGTTCGAGTGTAGGAAATCATTTTCATGAGACCTTGGTACTGATCGATAACATCACCAATGCTTATGCTAACGCTTTGCAATTTCTGAATAACAATGTTAATTCTTGAAAGCAAAAAAGACCACAAAACCAGCATGAAGGAAATCTTATTTTTTTCTAGAAAAATTGCCCTGTAAAATCATACATTTAGTTATATGTAATTATGAGGAGTTTGGTTTAACAAATGGGTGATTGTTTTAGCTTTCGCTAATATTCTCAGACTCTAATGATATCTTCGTAACCAAATTTTAATGTTTCGGAAAATATGAATCTTTCCACCAAAATTTGCCGCCCCAAAAATTTGCCGCCCTGGGCAGTTGCCCAAAGTGCCCATGATTAAATCCGGCCCTGGTTGTCGTGCTGTAAGCATACCATCAGAAAATTTTAAATTTTTGTATACATATTAAGGACATAACAATACAATTATCCTTAAAATTTGAAGTCGATTGACCGTCTATAACCCGAGAAAAATTCAATTAAAAATTGGATAATTAACATGGATTGTATAGGCTTTCTGTAGTTCTGTACCAGTTTCTTAGTTATATAAAAAAAACTAACTGTCAGAAGCTTTCAAAAAACTAACAGTCTTTTAATGTATTTTTGCTGAGTTAAAAAAAAAGAATTAAAAATTTTTGACCGTCCCATTGTTTATAAATAACCGTTTAAAGTTCAACAATTTGTAAAAAGTATACATCACTAGTGTCAGATAAAAACAACTTGGCAACGCTGTACGCGAGTATAGATATTATTTCCAAAGATAATAATCTTTGATTATTTCCGCTTTAAATTCAAACACTGATTCAGTCTCCAATATACCTATTGGTTGAGCATAAACGACGTTGCCGGATTAAAACTTATGAAAATATTTGAAAGTATTACGTAAAGGTATCGTCTTCAGGGTACAGTCTTGCGAATAAATTATGATTCACTTAGCTACAAGCTCGTATACTTTTACGGTGCGTATAATCTAAAAATTTTTGACAATATTGTACCACGACAACTATAGTTGTCGTGGTACAATATTGTCAAAAACTCGGTCTGTTAAGGTATACCTTAACAGACCGAGTGCGAACATTTTAAGTAACTTACTTCAGGTGAATCATCTTTAAAAGTAAATTAACTTAATAATTACGTAATGAAACATTCAATTTTCTTAGTTTATTAAAGAAACTTTCTTGATCCATTACTGGTAATATTCACAGGCTCATTTTTTTTTATTACGTAATGAGTTTAGCGGACTTTGGCAAAACCGAATGCTGCAGCATGCTGTGATGCACGTCAGATTATTGATTTTAGACCTCTAAAAACAATGTTTAGATGTACACAGCAAAAATAAAACCTCATTTTCATATATGCAATATTGTTTAATTATAGTATAATTATTATACCTGCCTACGATGGTTCTTTTTGCAAGAATTTCGAAAAGGTTGGTGTTTGTACTTGATTTTCCGCCGCACGCGACCTTCTTTTGTTTTTATAACAAGTTCCTGAATCTTTTTTGCGTTTTTCAGACATTTTATACTTCTAATTATCAAACTACCTTAGCAATGCACTGATTTTACAAGCACGATCGTGATATAATATTTGTCAATTATTAATTGTCAATTGTCAAACAAAAGTATAGAAAACTACAGGATGTGATTGAAGAAACGAATGAAAGAGAGCGCCTCTTTTAAATCTTTGTAACAAAGATATTAAATTATCTAAACTGCATTTCTCGAGCGTAATTCTTAAATCGCCAATCGAAATTTTTTTAGTATGTTGAATAAAATTGATTATCATTAACAAATCGTAAAAATGCCGCCCCCCCCATTATGCCGCTCTGGGCCGTTGCCCGGTTCGCCCGTACCTCGGGCCGGCCCTGCTCATAATGCCTGGGCATTATTCCTAAGGCATACCTACCTAAGCTATAGCTTTGTGTTTTTTTTTCATTGTTTTATAAAATGTATGTCTATTATATATTATGATTTATATTCTAGAATGTTTGCTTACGTAAAATTTGTGAACGACGGCCTAACGTACACAGTACTGTGTACGTGTAATTTGTTCTGGGAGAAAGATGCCCTGCCCTAGATCAACCTAAATAAAAATAATCCATAGAAAATTACAAAACACTAATTACCTTCTATTCACGTGAATGTAAAGTAATTACTAATTAGTGCATTTTTTAGTAATTTTCTACGGATTATTTTTATTTAGGTCCATCTAGGGCAGGGCATATTTCTCCCAGAACAAGTTTATAAAAGTGTTTGCTACAGTGCCCGCAAAAATAAAACATATATACCATATGGTATATATTTTTTATTTGGATAGTATTTTTATAAAAAAAATGGCAAACCCTATTAAAAATGCCCTATAGAACCCATATTGATCCAGATAAGGAAACTAATATGGATTTATATGGTTCTATATGTCCTATATGGAACGACCTGGTTTACACTTTGGAATCTATATGGTTTAATATGGAATTTCATTTTAAAATGTACAACTTAGGGATTTTTATATAGATTTATCTGGTTTCTGTTTTATGTGTCTTTCCATATAGATTTCCCTATATGGTTGAATATGGAATTCCATTTTAAAATGTATATATATTTAAACGAAAATTGCATATTAAACCATATAGATTCCCCTATATGGTTAAATATGGATCTATATGGTAATAATTTTTTTCACACCCAAACCATATTGGGCCAAATAGAGTATTATGAACCTATATGGCAATCCATATAGAAATCACTTTTCTATATGGTTTTCCAGGTATGGAATTCTATCTGGTTCAATAGTGCAATGCCTGTTTCAAATTCCTATATTGAACCAGATAGAACCATATAGATTTTTATTTTGTGTTTCTATATGGCATTTTTAATAGGGAAGGCAGTGACTGGCGAAGTATGTAATAATCTATTACTAATAGAACAACGGAAACATGTTGTTACTTTTGATATTTTCCTATATAAATCATATAGGGCTGTATCCCTGTAAAAAAGTCCAATAGGACTCTATCGGCATCTAGCGGTCAGGAGGCAATTACCTTTAGAATCGGGCCGTATCCGGAAAAAGCTTTGACAAATGCACATATTGAATCCGGTAGCGCCCGATAGATTATTTTTTATAGGTCTCGTATGGGATATTTTAAGCAGGGCCTTGCATTCAAACATAATATGTAGGTATGTAGCAGTATGTAAGTAGCAGGTATGTATGTAGGTATGTAGCAGTATGTAACATATTATGTAGGTATGTAGCAGTTACACAAATCGCAAGTAGCTCGTGTAGATTTACTAAGATTTTTTGAAAAGGCCGTTTAAACATTCCTTTTTCGTGCTCAGTAAGCTTTAGCGTACATGTAATGCAAACAGAAAAATAAGAATCCGTATTATTAAAATCAGGGTTAATCTATTTTTTAATTTGGATTTTATTGTGTGTAGTTATTGAAAAGAATTTTAACTAATTTTGAATTATTATTGTTGACCTTTTGAATAATATTGACTTTTATTTTTTGAGCATACCGCGCGGTAGGTATTTTGCGGTTGTTCAACACGAAGTTTGTATGTTTTCAAACAGAAACAGGAACTTCAAAAAAACAATATTTTGACAACGAACTGATAATTATATTGAATTCTCGCATTTTTCTTTAGTTTATAATTTTTTAACAAAAACTCCAATTTCTTGATTAAGTGTGTAGTAAAGATTTCTCGAGAAAATGGATCCATCCTGAAAATATTGATTTTTTCAAAAACTGCGTTTTGCAGAGTAGCTTATCATTTGCAAATGTGATAGAATTTGCTAATAAAAAATATTGGACTTTGTTCCGTTTGAAATTTCACGGGATCTAATATATTATAATATATCTTATATCAGGGCCCCTGAATTTCAGGGGTATAAGACCACGCGGGTTTAGACATACATATTTTGGTCCAAATCATATATGATATTTTTTGACACCAAAAACAGACATTAACAAATGTAATTTGCCATTCTAGGGGTGAACGTAAGGTTTCGGTTAAAAAATATCGTTTCCGGTCTCTGATATTTTTAAGCTTACGTGTAGAAATAAATAGGTATAAACTCGGGTATTAATTAATTTTTCCGTTTTCGTATGAAAATGTTTGATAATTGTATGATTTTAAGTAATCTAATTTTTTTTACAATAATTTAGTTAAACGCCGCGGCGATCTACCTTAATAACTTCAGAGATAGAACGACACCCGGTATATTTTTTGTTGACAGAAGTGACGTTAAATGTCAATAAAATACAGGGTTTTTAAATTGCACCAAAATGTATAACATGAACTTTCAAAACATTTGTTTGTGCAGTTTTCTAAAGCCCCAGGTAAAAAATTAAATATGCCGCCAGATTGAACAGCTGCCATAAAGCGAGCGAGAGTCTTGAAAGATGGGGGCCACGCGCAAGTCAACAACTAGCATACGGAATCAGTCCAACCGAGAACGAGGCGGCGCCCCACATTTCTCAGCCGTTGCTAGGTTTATATTTTTTCATTAACATTTCTAATATAAAATTTGACACTTTTACACATCTAATATATTTACAATGGATACAACTGATGCGTGGAGAACTTATGCAACAATATGCAGACTTTGTTTGCAGAAAGATGGTTTTATGTTGGGCATATTTAATCACATACAAGGAAAGGACAAAAGCATTTACAAGAAGATTATAGATTGCACTGCTTTGCAAGTAAGTACATACCTAATACTTTAAACAAAGTTTATATTAATCCACAAAACACAATGAATCCATAACCTAAGTCAATAGTATTTTTACCCTCAAAATTTTAAATTTAGACGATTTTGATGATTTTTAGATTTTGCCTAAATTCATATTTTGACAGTACCTAGGTAAATGTTTCCAAAAAATATTCATTTAATTATAAACTGACAGATATTTTAAGGTTAGTTTTCGCGCCAAATTTAAAATTGGGTTCATTTTTCTAATATTTCGTATTAAATCTTAATCCCTAATTATTATTCCAACTTATAGTTTTGTCTAAAAAATTAAAACTAACATTCGTTAAATGTTTGAAGAGTTTAAACATTTTACTTTAATTTAAATTGTGATCTATTTTCAAATGTTCTCATAAATACCTACCTATGATGAGGTTGATGGATAAAGCTGTTAAGGTATACCTATACTATACTAGGTATAGTATTTTCTTTTAAAGAGTTTGTAATACAAACCGTTGGTTTGGTGCAAGACTATCCTAAGTCTTAAAGAATTGAAGAAAAACACTATAGTGTTAATATATTAAACATTTCTATTTATTGTAACTAAATTGTTTTTTGCATAATTTGTATTTATTTATTAATCTTTGGATGTAGGTACCTAAAACCTTCCAATATTTTAAAGAATGACGCAAAAAACAATTTAGTTACAATAAATAGAAATGTTTAATATTGTTTTTCTGCAATTCTTTGAACATGGACATAGGATAGTCTTGCACCAAACCAGCGAAACTTTGTATAGAATGCGTTTAAAATTTCTTACCTACCTATATGATTTTGTGAGGCATCAAACTCGTTTAAAAAAATGTTAGATTTTTTTACAGCAAAATAATTATTTAAGTTACATTTGTTAGGTAGGTACGTCATATTTTTATATTTTGCAACACGTGCTAGCACTAGCTGGCTCATGTAATTTCTATAAAAATAATTGAATAATTAATTTTTAAGCTAATATAATTAACATGATCCTATTTTGTTTATCGAATTTGGAAACGAGTTTTTAAAATAATCTTTGGGAAATCTGTGAGAAATGCACAAGTGTTTTTTCTATGGGTGATTCCACGTCAGATCAGGCAGGTTCTTTGGGCAGGTTTTGACCCTCTGATTTTGACGAAAATCGCTGTATGGGCTTCAAATGGGCCCAAATGGACCTGACTGCAAAAGTTTAAATAAAATAATAAAAATTGTGGATTTTATGGGGGGTATCATTTTTGGAACTTTTCAGATCAGAGGTATATTGTTTTGCTTATATCTTGGGTCCTAATTGACGTCTTATTTTAAAGAAAAGAGACTATAATTTATAATTATTATACATTTTTTTAAATTTGTATAATTTTTTATTAAAATATATAGTTTTGAAAAATTCAATTTTAAATATTTCAAAAACACCCATTTTTATTTATTTTTCTTTGTTTATATGTGAAGAAGCAAACCTCTGATCTGAAAAGTTCCAAAAATGATACCCCCCATAAAATCCACAATTTTTATTATTTTTTCAAACTTTTGCAGTCAGGTCCATTTGGGCCCATTTGAAGCCCATACAGCGATTTTCGTCAAAATCAGAGGGGGTGAGGGTCAAAACCTGCCTGATATGACGTGGAAACACCCATTTCCAGCGTTGCCAAATTGCCAGTAATTACTGGCATTTGCCAGGAATAAAGCTCCTTGCCAGTAATTTTGCCAGGTAAGTTCAAATGCACGGAATTTGCCAGGAATTGATTAATTTACTATGTAAGTTAAAATACAATAATTATGTTTTTTCACTTATCGTTTATAATCCGTGAAAATGCCTATCTTAGATAAGTCATCTAAGATGGCCGGGACATCATGGCCCATTATGCAAGGAATGTGTTTCTTAAATAATGATTATGGCCTACCTTACAGAATGGCCCATCTCTACGTTTGCCGGGTGGGACGGGACTGCCGATTGGTCGAACAACTGAGTCGTGTTGTCAAATGTAAAAAGTAAAATTATTGAAAATTTTAGTAAATTACAATTATAATATACAGGGTGTCCCACAATTAGTGCGACAAAATGAAGGTGTATTATCTAAAGACCCCCAGGAATTCCAGAAAATTGTTTAAAAAATTCTTTTTTCATTATTTAAGAAGATACAGGGGAGTCATATTTTCTTTATAAGGCAACATTGCCTCATAAAAAAGTAATAGTTTAATTCTTAATCATCATAACAACCACGGTCTTATATACAGGTCTTGCAACTTTAAGCTTCGAGGTGGCTTCCTTAACGTGCCAAGCCGCTAGGTGGCGCTAAGATCGAAGGGGTAAAGTCAATTAAACTACTACTTAGTTAAATGTGGAACTACTGCATAACCATAACCTAACTTTTTAAATTCTTTTTCTATGTTTTGTTTACATTTTCAAAAATTTAATATTTGTGAGTTTGTTTCGGATAATTTACGTTAACAAAATAGGACAACAAAGTCTATACTCTATGCACAAAGTCCTCGGCCGTCACATGCCCAGACCAAACATGTAAGTAAAACATGTTAATGTATAAAATACATATATGTATACGTATACGTATATCATAATATGATATATATTATATATGTTACGACTAATGTGTAAACATGGATAGTTTATTAAGTAGCTGGGAGTTTATAAACTAGCCAAACTGTCAGCTATTTTAATTGAAAACATATTTTTAACTAAATTAGCGGATAGTTTGCAAACCAACCAAGGGTCTTGGCTAATTTACTTGAAATTATTTAGGAATAGCTGGATAATTTGTAAACTATCCAATTCAATTTGGCTAATATGAAAACCTAAATTTCTAGTAACACAACATAGCCAAGCTTTACAAACTAACCAACCAATATTCTGGCTAATTTATTAATAACCGATTTTTTTATTGTCTTGGCGGGGATGGGTTGATTGTTTATTTAAAATAATATATATTTCACCAACACGATGTGCTTAATTATATAATAATCATACAAAATGTGAAGGTGTCAATAATATGTTTTTTATTGCACATTGCCATGTTTTTAACCGCTCCTTATTTGTTGGCACTTTAAACATGGACCGCTTAATTTTAATGCCGGAACGATAGCTTTGCTGGTTACATTTTGGTACAACACAGGACTTCATGTCTATTAAAAAGCACAAATACAAATGTATAACAAGAACAAATATAACAAGAAAAAATAGAACAATATAATATAACAATAACGAATATCACAATAACAATAAGTAAAAACTCCCTGTAACAAAATACTCAAGCTTGTTTATAAAAATGTAGGTTATGTTTCTTCACAGAACATAATACTATAACATAATACTATACCTATAGTTCATTTGACCTTTTATCCCATAGACTTTAAGGACTTAGAGTCGGTTTTACAATCGTTAGATTAAGTTAGCTTATTTGGCGGATAACTTTCATAGAAACCTTCTATCTAAGAAAATTATCCAGAGAGCTTATCTAACGATTGTAAAATCCAAAGATAAAGAAGGTAAAAACGACCTTTAAACATCTATGGTTCACCCACAACTCGATGCGCCATCTGGTGGGTGTCTCATTAGAGAGGTCACTTTTCCTATTGAAATTGGGCGAAGTTGCAAGACCTGTATATAAGACCGTGATAACAACAAACAACAATGTTAGCAAATGTCAAATTTAAATGTCAAAATTTGTTACTTTAAGTTATAGGTTATTTATTTTACGTCAGACTGGATAGAAAAAAATACAGGGAGTCCCTGGCAACGTTGCCATATAAAGAAAATATGACTCCCCTGTATCTTATTAAATAATGAAGAAAGAATTTTTTAAACAATTTTCTGGAAGGTATTGGATAAATCATTTGGTGTGAATAAAAAAATTAAAAAATATTTTTTTGTTTGTTAAAATAAGCCATTTTGCTAGAAACCTAAAGATTGTAAAAATTAAAAATTCTTGGAATCAATCATAAGCATTCACGTTGCCAGGAATTGCCAGTAATGATAATATTTTTTGCCAGGAATTTTATTAAGAACTATTGGCAACGCTGCCCATTTCATAATAAACAAAATTTGTTTCTTGTTAACGTTGTGTTATTTTATAACACAACATAACATTAACCAAGAAAGAAATACTGATAAAATAATAATAATAATTTTTAAAATTTACCCTGTATAGGCACATCTAGGGCACCCCTTATACTATTAAAAAAACCGTATGCTTATTTAATAAACTTATCAACAACATGTGGTTTTTGAGGGGCTGATTACAAATTTGATATCCATTTCTTCAAAAAATAAAATGGCCGATCCAATATGACGAAAATTTGTCGTTCGGCTTTAATGGTTTGGGTAAAATTTAGTATTTAGATATTTATGGGGTCTAAGAATTTGATATCCATAAAAAAAACAAAATTGCCGATTCAAAATAACGGACATCAAATGCTCGACATTTTCGGCTTAAAGAGTCTTATTTATCAGTGTGGTCTTGGCACACATTTTTTTTATTTCCAGTTTAAATTTCCATAGAAAAAAATATAAACGAATTCGTATTTTATTCCAAATAATTTTTGAATTCATACATAGCTACTTTTACCACGAGGGAAACAAGACAAGACGAGAGAAAGGCACTCTCGAGCGAGAAAATAGTATTCTCGACGAGACGAGAGACCCATTTTCTCTCGCTGCACGAAACGAGACGAGAGAAGGACTTTTCTAGCCTCGTCTAGCCTCGCGGCATCACTAGCTAGGACTTAATTATTTCTGTCAAAATTATTACACATCTGGCCTTGCAACTTTCCAACTTCAGAAAGCGGTTGCATCAGTATATATATATACTGTCTATAGACAATATAGGTATATATTATGGTTGTTATAACCATAATTTGTAAGATATTTTTTTAAAGGTAGTGTCTCCCCGACCGTAGGACATAGAAAAGTGTATGCTCGACCGTCCGACGGACGTATAAAAGTGTGTGCTCAACCGTCGCATATTT